TTTTTTTAAAACTGAATTACTAGCTATTCTCACAGAACGACCTGTCAACTTCATTAAACTTCTCCCGTGCTGCCTCTTCGAGTGCCTCTCTTAATTCATAAGTTCTTTTATAAACCTTGTTGTTAACCATACCGCATAAAAAAATCTAAAATGGATAGGTCAGGTGGTCGAGGAGGCCCATGTAATTGTTCCATCTCTTCCTATCCGTGAGATGCATAACTGGGGGTGTCATAATGAAAGTCAGGTTGGAACCACTCTACTGATGCGCGAGTATCTAAATTTAACTTTTCTGACATGTCTTGAAAACTGTTCTCTCCGTTATCTAAAAAACGTAACGTTTACCATTCAACGTATCCTCGAAAATGTATATGGCCAAGAAAAATTGAATCAATAACCCTACACGCTTTTCTTCATTTGAAAAATTCATATTTACCATTTTTGTTTATTTTAATTTACAAAGTTTGGATGTTTCATATTTCTGAGAGCAACGACGATTGAACTTGTTTCCATGACTTACTAAGTGAAATTGTTTAAAAATTATAAGAATTGGTCATAACTCAGTGATTTTTCGAAAAAAAAACATATTAAAGCTTATATCGCTGAAAAGCTTAAAAAAATGGCGCTTTTTATGAAGTCATGGCCAACTATGGTTTCCATTTAAAAAAAAACATATGTTTGTGTCATATGTCAAAAATTAAAGGCTTTAGAAAAAAACGGAGGACACAGTCTCATTAAGGATGTGATTCTCTACAACTTTTATCTGAAAACGTTTTATCTAAAATAGATTATAATGGAATTAGGGACAATTTTTAAAATAAAAGTTTGTTTTTTTCGAAATATCTAGTAAGCCATGAACTTTTTCAAAAATCTGAAAGGCGCATATTTATGACCAAACTGCAATTCTTTTTCCATTTAACCGACTCTCTGTCTCCAGTAGTTTCCGAGATGCCCATAGACAACATCGTAGAAAACTCACCCTGTATTATGACAGGATAAATTATAATTTGCAATATTAATGGTATACTTGTTTTAAACAACTAGTGCTTAAATTTTTAAAACATCTTTTAAAATTATAATTATGCACCTTTAATAAAATTCGTTATAACCGAAATATCCCCAGTTATGTCTCCGCTAGAAAAATCAGTGCGTAAAACTACAATAGCTACCGTGGTTGAACGCATTTAAAAAGTTTTATTAATTTGAATAATAAATTATAATACAACATAGACCTTCTGAATAATATATCAAAATATTTACTTTTTCGGTTTCGGTACTCATCGGCTTTGTATATTAATTTTTAGAATTTTTACAAATTATACTTCCTAACACTTTTAGAATAATATTATATAATACATTTTTCGTATACTCGCTATTTAAATCCGTGTATTTGCATATGCCGCTTGTTTACAATATTTTCCGATGGTGGCAGCACCGACAGAGAATGCACCAAGCCTATACTAACTTCATTCTAATACTACGTACTATTAAAACTTTTCTTTGCTTCACACCATTAATAATTTCAATGAAAATTTCACACCTCTACTTTTCAACCAATAACATGCTTTAATGTTGACTAGTTACCATGGCAACTGAAAAAATTTCCGGAAATTTTTTCGAGGCGCCACGAAACTTTAGTGGAAATTTTTTGACAGTTGAAAAGGTAAACATAAGATCTACAATCATAATGTGAATGAACTACAATGTCTATATATTGAAATATTACCCATTTGAGTTTTAGCATTTGATGTAACTAAGGTTGGTAATATTTTTATTTAAGGAAATATGTTAGATATACCTACATATGAATTTCTTCGAAATTGCCATGTTCTAAAAATATAGTTCTGCCGCCTTTATTTAACTAAAGCTGGTATTTTTCTATTTAACGAAATATGATGGATATACACTTGATTTTGATTTTCGGGTGTTATCTAGTTTTATATTTTCAATTTCTTCTTTAATGACTTGTTGGTTTACTTTTCCAAATCGCGACATTTCGCTATACACTTCTTACTCTACGTACAGACGTTTTAAAACTAGTAATAGCTTAATCACAGAATCGCAAACAAAAATGACAAAACACATAATATGTCAAAAACATCAATACCTTGGCCAACTTAACAAATTGAAATTATTTTAAAATGTCATGTTGGATTAATATTTTTTTTTTCAAATTTAGGTGTGAAATTTTCTTACCGAATACCACGCAAGCTTAAATTATTCCTGGAAATTTTCTTTCGGGCACGAATATTTTAGGAAAATTATCCCTCGTCTTCGACTCGGGATAGTTTTCAAAATATTCGTGCCCTCAAAAAAATTTCCGAAAATAATTTAAGCTCTTGTGATATTATAAGTGAATATTTAAATCTGCAATGCGGATATTCGGTATAAAATACCGTATGATCGAGAAAAAACGGCGTCAGCGATGGCTATAGAATGAAGATCGCTGTCATTTTATATGTAAATTTATATGGAAAATGTCATTGATGTTCATTTCCCAGCCAACTGGACGCCGTTTTTTTTCGATCATACGGTATTATGGACGCAACAAATTATACAAATTATTTTTAAAATTGGAAAACATCTTTTTAGGCAATCTCAGGGGAAATGTATTCCGACAGTCGCTAACAGATGTTTTCTTTTAATTTCACCAAACGTATAAATTGAAATATTTTTTCAGGTCGCGTTCTAGAATCGTCACACACACTCACACATTTTCAAATATAGAACCGCATACTTAAAAAGTGATCTACGGTTTTAAAATTAGACCGCCATCAGAAATAGAAACGGTAAAAAAATAAATGATAGTTAAAAAAACTAAAAAAAAACAGTCTTTGAGAATAGATTGAAGATAAAAAGATAACTAATAATAAATACTAGGTTTTAATTATTAAGATTTTTTTTGTCGACGGCGATAGAATGTTAACTAACTCAATATAAATATTAAGTAATTTTCAGAGTATTTCAAATAACATTAAAGTGATAAAAAATATACAAATGTGTTAAAAATGTTGGGTGCCTGTGTATAAACGTCCTAAGCTTCTGCGACCTAGCGGTGATTTGTCGCGAGCAACTCTCACTATCCTTCTATTGTCCATTCTACTGATATGCTCGTTCCATTCTTCCTTTCTGCTGAGTACCCACTCATTTACACTTTCCACCTTGCATGCTCTTCTTGTGCTTTCATTTCTCTCCCTGTCCAGAAGCGTCTTTCCAGCTATTCTGCGTAGTACTCTCATTTCGGTTATCTCTAGTACTTTTCGCTTTATCAGGTTGAGTTTGTCATTATTGGTCGTAATGTTGCCTTGTAAATTCTTGCTTTAGTTTCCACCTCAATGTTTTTATTTCGCCATGTTGTGTCATTCAGGCATCCTGCTATTCTATAGTTGCCTTCGTTATCCGTTCTCGCACCTCCGCGTCTACATCACCATATCCTGATATTTCTATGCCTAGATACTTAAACCATTTCTTGCTGGATAACATTACCCTCGACTTCCAGTTTGCATCTTAGTGGTACTTTTGATGTCGTCATGAATTTAGTTTTCTGGGTCGATATTTTCATATTAAGTGATTTGGCAGTGCAGTTAAATCGATGTAATTGATGCTGTAGATCGTCCTCATTTTCAGCTACCAATACAGCGTCGTCGTCGGCATAGCACAGAATAATAATTTCCTGGTCATCTATACCGTATCCCTTCACAAACGTACATTTCCTATTATTTCGTCCATAATGATGTTTAAAAGAAGAGGGCTCAGGGAGTCACCTTGTCGGATACTACAGCCTACATTTATTGGTTTGGTCAGGACCCCGTTAATTTTGGCTTGAATTTGATTCGCCTCATATATGTTTTCTACGGTTTTAACGAGGTTGTGTGGGATTTGCCTATTGTAAAGAAGGTGTACAACGTCTCTTAGCTGCACACGAAAGCTTTTTTCTAAATCAATAAAACACATATACGCTGGTTTGTTATATTCGATTGATTTTTCTGTTATCTGTCTTTTACAAAAACCGAGTCTGTGCATGATCTGCCTGATCTGAAACCTTGCGGTGTGCCTAAATGAAATTTATGGCATAAAATATAATAATTGTTATGCATAATGTGTTTTTGATCTTAAATTACTATAATATATTATACCATATTTATATATAATATAAATTACTATTTATATAAAGTGACCGACACGAAGAATACCCACAATACACCTTAAAATTTTCATGTACCCTGTACCCATATCAAAGTACAATATATTTTGTTCTGATGTGTTGATGTGATTTTAATGATTGTTTAAGCAATGTCTAGCTAAATTATACCATTTTTTTCAATAATAAGTGGACCGGAAGCACTGTAACATATTATATTTGTCCCGTTTCTATGTCTGCATCAATTTTCATATCCCTATACCCTTCACCAACTTGTGCAGGTCCTTGATAGGATAGAAGCATAGCTCCTCCAGTTCTAGCATTGCTTTTCCAAATAAAAAGCGTCACTTGCGATCCAGAGCCTTGCAGTGACGTATTGTGCACTCCGCTGTTTCAGGATCTTTATCACAGAGTCTGCAGCAAAGACTTCCTTGATACAGCTTGTTTAGTTTGATCAGGTAGCACTTGACAGCCATATGTCCTATCAAGAGGCCTGTTGTAATCCGCACTTTATTCCTGCTAAGCATTATCAGTTCCTTTGTGGTTTTAGAATTACGTCCTTGGATAAAGGCTTTGCTATGCATGTGCCCCTGTCTGTTTCTCCAGCGGACATTCTGCTTTTGCCTTATCCAGGGTTTTATCAAAAGTAAGGAATCCGATGGTCCTTACTTAGCTAGTTCATTGGCTTTTTCATTGCCTTGGACGCCGCTGTGGCCCGGCACCCAGAATAATTTAATTCTGCTCTTTCGTGCCAGAGCTCCCAGTTCACCCAAGCATTCTCAGACGAGTCTCGACGATACCTTTGGGCTTATAAGCGCGCTAAGTGCCGCCTGACTTTCTGAGCATATACTGATGAGCTTACCTGAGTAAGCTCTTCTGTTGTTTTGTCTCGTGCATTGTAGAATGGCAAAGAGTTCTGCCTGGAATACGGTTGAAACCCAAGGAAAAGGATACGCTCGCACCAGCTCCTGTTCCGTCAGCGGTCTTAAACCCGTCTGTATACCAGGTGAGTCCGTCCTGAAGGAATGTTGTATCTGTCGATATTCCTCGATCCATTTTAGTCACCTCGAATGGTTTATGGTAATGATAAAGAGGAGGCATTTGGTACGATCTCATTTGGAGTAGAGGTCCGCAGATAGAATCCCCATCTTTAAGTGTCCTGTTTCTATCCTATTCCAAATAGGACAGAAACTAAATTACTTGACCTTTTAATTTTTTTTTAAATAAAAAATTCAAATTCTCATCTGTCATATGAGACAAAATATTGTTATTTTGGCGTTTGAAGTTTGAACCACTCTGTGAAATGGTTTAACAAAGTATTTTTTTATTAAAAACCTAAGCTAAAATTCATCAAAGTGTCATATATCATTTTCCGAATAGTTCGATTTTTGATTCATCTCAGTAGCTATTTTTGATATAGTGTATGAAATAGTGTTTATTGTTTTTGTAATGTCACTCTGTCATGAAAAACTCATATTATTATTGTTTGTTAATAGCTACTCTAGCAAAGATGGTTTTAAGTTCAGAAGTTGTATCGACTCTTGTTGGTTTAATTGAACATGGTAGATATCCACTTCTGGACTTTGGAAAACCATCTTTCGTAGAGTAATTGCCACAGAAATAGTATAAATACTACGCCTTTTTAATGAATGTTGCAATACAAAAAATAGCCATTATTTATCATAAAATTGATTATCAAAAATTGATTATCAAGAAAAGACGGCGCAACTTGATGACAAAGGTGATCTTAAATTCCTTAGGTTGTTAAACCATTCCACGGGGTGTTTCAACCTTTCTTCTAAATAACAATATTTTATTTTTCTTGTAATAGACAGATGGGTACTTCAATTTTTAATAACGAAAAGTAAGTAGTAAACTAAAAAATCAAATAAATTCGCGACACACTGCTTAAAGTTTCATTAAAATCGGCCCAATAAAACGAAATATATTTAACTTTAAAATACATAAAAATTTTAATGTGTCCGGTCCAAACGCGCACCCAGTTTTAAAAGTAGGGTATTTTGGTGTATTGTGATGAATTAGTGTTTATTCTACTATTCATATCCTTATTTTGTATCAATGAGTAATTTACTTACTCCAAACTAAACTAATAAATCGACAATCCTCAGGATATTGAAATAAATTAATTACATTTCCAGCGGTCTTTGATAAGTATTTAAAGTTTTAATTTAATCTAACACCTCAAAGTGGGAGAAAATACCGTTTAAAAATTCCATTACATAGATAGATTGATATAGAGGTAACGCTTATAAAATCGTGATAAAAATAGGAAAAGTTCCAAGTTAAAAAATAAGATCGAGAGAGTCAAAATGAAAAAGAAAAGGTCGATAAATTTGTCGTGGGTGAGTTGTATGAATCTTGCATCGGGAGTTGGCAGGGAGTTATCAACATTGGCACTATCGAACGTAGAGAGGTCAATATTCGCTTTAGAACGCGATTTCAGTCGATATATTTTATAACCGGGCTATTACTTTCGAAAAAGTTTTGATTTTATTGCTTCTATAACATTCCACTCTTACAGAATATAATTTTATTTCATTCGAACGATAAATCTCAATTTTAAGTACAGATCCCAGATAATCAACCGACAAAATTTATATATCCCTCGTACCTATCCGTTCTAGGTTATGTGTAGAGGCGTCGCGTCGGCTGAATATAAAACCTTTATTAAACCCACCCACTGGGAAATCTGGATGGAAACGGCAAACATCACTGCATTCTTTGGCTTCGTATTTCTCAAAAATTTATGAACTTTTAATATCGTGTGCCAGACGGCTCGACAAAAAGAAGGTAACCAGCACGAGCCGCTGCGTTTGGTATTAATATAAAATCTGCATTTCATTTCCCGAATTCTACTACTTTTTCAGTAGGCATACTTATACTTATACTTAGTATTTTAACTGTTTTTTTATACTAGAAAATATAGGGAAATGTATGAGATCTTGTTTGTTGTTTTAATGTTTATAAAATTTTATGTAAACCTAAAGGTTGATTCTCACTATACCTTCCATTTCCATTCCACATCCATTCCATTATCCATTCCGTATTTTTTATTGTATTGACGCTATATGTAAGCTTCCGTTCCATACCAGTTTCATACTTTTTATTGTACGATTTATATAATTACGAAACTTTTATTTTAAAAATTTGTGTCTTTTCATAAAGGTAATTATTATTACCGATTTAATTGAGAGGTGAAAAAATAAATAAATATCAACAAAATTTTAACGAGCTGGTACAAATGTAACATGACAACGCTGTTTCCGATACACTTCAGTCCGTCAGCCAAAAAAATGTACTGAAGGAAAAGATACGGAACGGAACGGATTGTGTACATTCTCCTATTAGTACGAGAGCTAGCAACGTCGGAAAAACAAGTATTACGTCTGGCTCTTTGATATATCTTTTACTATGCTCTCTAGAACAGCATGCGGCCCGTCTGGCTGCCGGCAAACGTTGCGTTCCCTACTGCGCATTGAAAGAAGATCCCATATTTTTATTAGTCCTTTAAATTCTAGTATTGAATATAAATCGAACATGTCTCCATAGCGCAGTGCGTAGAGTTTCTGACGACGAACCGATGATTCAGAGTTCGAATCCGGGTCACGGCAAAGAGTTTCTTATTTTATTTTCGTTTATAACTAATAGTAAAGTATTAAACATTTGTTTGAAGTCACTCTCTAGACGTAGTTTATTAAAAATTGACGTAAAACTTGTCAAAAATTAACACTAATTGCAGAAAGATTAAAAAAGTACATAACGTTTCCTGACATATAATTTTTTTCCAAAAAAATATTTTTTGTCGAATTTTAAACTACATCATTTAAAAATCATTTTTACACAATATAAAAATAAAGTATAACCTTCTTAAGTCTAACTGGCTGTAAGCGCAAAGAATAAAGAACAGCACAGGCTAAGTAACGACATCTAGAGCTTGACCTCGCCAAAATTACCACTGATTGTCATTCCTTCGCCGTCTATAATGTCATATTTTTCGGTCGTGTAGTCCTTAAAAACTCCTGTTAATATGTTCTATCCATTATGTAGAAAATGTCGTTAACAAGTTAAACAGATGTAGTTTTGAATACAACCAAGCTCCTTATTAGTTTTGATAGCATATTTCATGTATTTGTGAACTCATAGATGGCATCTTAACCCTTTGATAGTGTAACACTCTTTATGCCGAACAAGTTCTTAACTAGTTAAACAGACATAATTTTTATTAGAATACTGCTCATGATAGCATGCTCCATTTACAGTTGAAGAGATGGATGTATTCTTGTAACCCTCCGATAGTTTAATACATTTAAGCAGAAGTCATTACTACTGCTGCCATTACTCGCTGACGAGTATTCGACCGCATCAGAAGATGGTCACGCAAGGCGTTTTCTTTTATGAGCTTTTCTGTGACTGAAAAGCCCGATACGTGACGTTATCTGCCTACCGCACTCCATTCAAAAATCTCATTGCTTTGTTGCCTCTTTACTTTTTGGTTGTCGCTGTTAACTGAGTTTACAATTCTCCTCCATTGAGTTCTATTTTGAGCTGCTTCTTCCCACTCATTCTGCATGTTAATTCCCTTAAGTTTTCGTGGAAAATGTCCTTGTACCTTTTCAGTTGTCCACCCGGCCTCCTCTTACCGTCTACAAGCTCACCATAAAGCAGAGATTTTGGTATGCGGTTTTCTTGCATTCTGCATACGTGACCAGCCCATCCTAAGCGGGATTTTGTAACCATGATTCCAATACTCTCGCAGTTAGCTTTTTCAAGGAGCAATATATTTGAGACATAATGGAATCACCGGAAGAAGTCATTAACAAATTAAACAGGTGAATTTTTGGAGACAATGGTACTTCTATTAATATGTTCTCTCCATATCAAAAGACACATCTGGATTCTTTTTACCGTACTTTATAGGAATATTCTTATATTTATTTATTATACAACATGTCGTTATAAAATTAAACGGACATAGTCTTTAGTAGAATAATGTTCCTGTTGGTATATTCCATATACGTTTGAAAACATAGATGAGCTTTTTGTATCACTCTCTTATTTTAACACTTTTTATGTCAAAGATGTTAATAAATTGTCTGTTAGCATGTTCCGTCCACATCAGAAGACATTAATGGTTTCTCCTACACCCCTGGATATATTAACGTTTTATACAGGGTGAGTCTTAAATAAGTCCAAATATCTTTAGTATATTTAGGCAGTATATTTAGACCCCAGAAAAATACGTAGTAGATTAAATTTACAAGAAAGAAAACCCAGAAAAGTTCCAGTGGTTCTCAAAATATGTGCAAAAAATCTTTTATTGAAATTTTATCGATTTATTTGAAAAACGGTATGTGAAAAACGGTTATTTGAGAAACAGTAAGAGAAAATATGTTTATTTTATCGAGATCTGCCAGCCCTGAAAATATTTGCACATATACTCACTCTGTATATCGTTCAGTAATATAAGTTTTGGAAAATTATAATATTTAACTTTAGGTACTGTGTTTAGTAATATCTGAAATTATTATTAGGCAAGCAAACGCAGGATTTTCAATTAACATCCCAATGCATTGTATCGTAACATTGTAGTCATGCAAAAATGAACGAGTAGAAAAAAAAACGACCATAGCCGAACACAACCGAACAAACTCGCCTCTAGTAGCGGAACCGTAAAAACAAAATGGATCTGTCTGTTTTGAAAAGAATGGCGCCCCAGTTCATTTCGGTCTTTGTCATGGAAATTTATTTGGATGGCCTTCTCCCCCTGTGTCTCTTTTATTTTCTTTCGACACAGTGGTCCATCCTGCTGGTAGCGACAAAAAAACTTTATTACAGTCCAAAATTTATTGAGATAAGTCCAAATATTGTCCTCTCTA